TCGTTGCGAGCAACGAGGGCTGTGAACCGGGCTAGTGCCACAATAAACCAGATTGAGCATTGCAGCCTCATTACTGCCGAACCTTTCATCCAGGTCGTGAAGGAGAAGAGCCGCGTGCATTTCCGTGGCAGTTCTCATGGAAATTACCTGGGACCGGTTCTGAAGGCGCCCCTGTCAGAGCGGTGGCAGCTGACAGTGAAGGCAGGGTTACCGTATAACGCAACATAGTTTAATACTCTGGCATAGGTATAATGTAAGATTCTCATTTCTGCTTGACCTACTTTTGCATGACATATTTTTAAAATGCCAAAATCTCTTCGTTTTGGCAAATTACTTGTCATTGTTCTTCTTTGATTCCTTTCAGGAGAAGGCAGAGCTCTACGGACCATGCCGCGTTGCTGTGGGAGGGAGGGGGCCTGCAGACCAGGAGAATCCTGGTCGTGGAGCCATCACCAAAAAACCGTGAGACTTTGGAACCAGTCTTCTGGCACGGCAAGGAGCGGCGTGTGGTGGAAGACTTTTTGTCAACTTACTCCATCAGCGCCGTCATTGATTTGGCGGCCTCTGCCGCCGTAGCACGGAGACGTTACTTGGGTTTCACGTGCACCATGGTTCACAAGTCGCGGCTTCGTGAGCAGTTGGTCTACCAACTGCTCTCAGAGTCGTGCCGGCCATCGGGGGCCTTGTATGACCCCAAATTGGCAAGGGCCCTTGGGGATGACATCCAAGCAGCTCCTGCTGAACCTCGGGCGCGCCCAGGACCACGTCCTCGTGGTTCGGCTGCAAACGCTGGTCAGAATGGTGGACCCGCATCGACGGGATCTTCAGCTGACGTCCTCTCACGTTTTCAGGCAGGACATGGCACTTTCATCATCGGAATATCATGTGTATTGATTTATTTTTTGCTTCAACTTTCTGATCGCCTGGCTCCGTCAAGGCACGCTTGGCTGCGCTCCAGTCGGAAGGCAATGGCAGCGGCGGTGACAAGTCTGAAGGCACCGCCCCGGCTTCCTAAATCACTGTGGTGAGTCAGTGAAATTTTGTCTGTGACAGGCCCTGTGGCGGCAAACTGTCTTACAAACGATCACGAAAGCAACGAAAAGGCCAAAAGTGGGGCTTGATTGATCGATCTCACAGTGCCCACTGGAAGATCTTAGAAAGCGCAGGTATTCATGATTATTCTGATAGCCGTTAGCCCTCACTGGATTGGCTCCAGGTAGGGTTGGACTCCCTTTTATGATTCTGACCCGTCGCTTTGCTATGCTTGAGCAGCAGGATCCAGGGTCCAATAATAGTCGTTGACATGGACGACTGCCTTTTTGATTTCCCTTTGGATGGCGGCCATGGCATTGCAGTGGTAGGAGCTGCAAAAGCCCAACCAAAAAAAGAAGGCGGCCTCAGCAGCAAAGGCAAGGTCCAGTGCCAGGCCGAGCCCCCCCAAACCTCCCGGACAAACCACCACCAAGAAACTCAAAGAGAAAGACTGGCCCTTTGTCCAGGAAAGATTCAGGGGCGCAGCCTGTCCAGAAAACAATCAGAAAGAAGAAGACTCAGACAGCGCTCAGCTGTTCAGATTCAGTGTCAGGTGTTCCACGGCCTGGCAGTGGCAATGGACAGCCAATGAAAAGACCAGCGGCTGGTGGGAAAGGGAAGAAAGGGAAAGGGAATTCAGCCCGTTGTTCGGGTGATCGATGTCAGACCTTGCCACCTGAGTCCTTACCTCAAGTCTCTGCCCGTGCTCCCAGTCGGAAGTGGCTGCACCCACGTTCCATCCGTCTTGCAAGCGATTGCAGCGGGATGGGCGCAGAGCACAAGGCCTGTGAGCTGTGCACTAAGACCTGGCCTCATCCAGTAAAAAATCTGCCATGCCATGGCAAGTGATTCCAACAAGTCATGCCGGAAGTTTTTGGAAAAGTTTTGTGAGCCACAAGTGCTACTTGACGATTGCATGGCTGACAAGTCTCCTTATGTCAAGCAGTGGAAAAACACATTGGACCTGTACACAAACGGCAGTCCCTGCCAGTCGTACTCAGTGGCAGGTGCGAAGGGTGGATTCGGAGATGGTCGAGGACAACTCGTGACATCGGGACCCTCCTTCATCGACAAGTTTCGTCCAAGAAGCTTTCTCCTTGAGAACGTAGGTGGCATGGTGACAATGTTCCCGGAAGTTCTCTCCACGTTGATTGAAGATTTGCGCAGTATTAAGGCTGACAACGGCAGCGCAGCGTACAATGTGCAGCATCTTTTCAGACATTTAGTCTAGCTAATTAGTACATTTCGGTTTTGACACGGACAATAAAACGGAAGGGGCAGGATTACTTTAAATATTAATTCTTTAATGTGAGCTCAGACTCAGGTACCGCTTGCTGAAGACCTCGGATTTTGGCACACCGCAGGCGCGAGTCCGCGTGTTTGTGATCGGCGTTCGCGTGGATTGCCAGGTGCGAGACTTTGCCTGGCCAACAAAAGTTCAGACCAGACCCTTGTCAGACTTCATTCCGTGGAGGCGCCCTGTTGAGAAAAATGAACCGCCAGTCAGTGTCTTGAAGAACCTGTGCGAAGTGTTGGCAAAACCACCGCCTGGAGATGTCATCGCGGATGTGGCAGGCAGCAAGGTTTCGCTGGGAAGCGAGGCTATATGCCCAACAATAACCCGGGCCAGAGCTGGGAGCCAATACGGGTTCTACAGTGACTTGATGTTGATATATTGAGTTTTCTTTTTAACCGGTGATCCGAAAATAATTGAGACTTTAAAAGGCAACTTGGGCGAGAGCTGCCAGTCAGAACTTGACACTGAGGCATTGCCAGGCAACGATTCTTGACGCTGGAGGATTACATGGCCTTGCAAGGGATCCCTGAGCGGGCCTACACAAGTTGGGGGAGCATTGTGTCCACAAAACAGATGGGAGAGATGGTGGGTAATGCCTTCAGCACGTGCTTGCTCACGAAGCTCATCCATTGCATTTTCCAGGCAATGGGCCTTGACCAGTGAACCGGTGACAAGACAACCGCTTCGCCTATGTCCACAAAATGGCCTGTTTCCGGGATGGGCGGAATAGGGTTGAGGTGGTGTTTTTGGTGGGGTTGCGGGGTTTAGGTTTAGATGTGTGTGGAATCAATCAGGGCGTCCTTAATGCTCGTCATGCGTGCAGGACCTAGCTTTCTTGATTGAATGGCTACTTGTGATTGTAGCAGCGAGAGTGCTCAAAAGCAAATAGGTCGGCAGCAAGTCTTAGACAAATGGACGTCAAATTGACCCTCACCATCGCCAAGGAGTATGCTGAGCAGATCAGGGACGGGCAGAAAGAGTTTGAGGCGCGCTATCTGAAGGATACCGGTGCCAAGTTGGGCAGCTTGGTGAGGGGCGACAAGATCGGGTTTCATTGGTTTCGCCGTCAACGCCTGGCAGCGACCATCAGCGACGTCATGGTCTTTCCCTCGATTCCGGCAATGCTGGAAAAGGTGCCCCCCAAGCAAGCTCTTACCAGGATTTGAAGCCGCCGACGCTCAGGGTGCCTGCGTGCCTTGCCAATATTTTAGATTCAAACTTTGTTTCCAGAAATGTTTTTTAAGTAGGTTGGGTAGTAGAGTCGGGTGTTGGTTAAACGCACGATGCAGGAGAAATATTTGAAGATCTTGAATCTGTCAGACTCAAAGAAGAAGATGATTGTCTTCAAGCTCAGCGAGCCTGAATGGCACGACGACGTGGAGCCGAAAGAGAAGAAGAAGAAGAAGAAGTTCGGCATGGCTGCCGTCGCGCAGGCAAGTCCCACAAAGAGTGCGCAGCGCAGTCCCTTAAAAGCTGGCCCACCAAGCAGCATCACCAAGCCCCGCAAAAAGCCTGCGGCAGGCAAGGGGAATTTGCTTAAGACACCTCAGACACCTCCCAGGACTTACCGCCGTGCCAATTGTTCTGAGTGGAGCACTCCTGATAGTAAGTAGCAGAACCTCGGGCCTGACTGAACCGGAGGGTGAAGCCTACAGTTTTGAGGGAAAATGAGCTGTTCCTCTCACTGGTGCTGAATTCCAGGCAGGGGATTGCTGCGCAAAGGTGTTACTCCGTTCAGTAACAGTAGTGGCACAGCATCTTGGACGTGCATGTCAGGCACAAGTTGGGT